TACGGGCACTTCGAGTACACGGTGATGCCATTTGGCCTGACCAACGCCCCTTCCGGGACTTGTTAGATCAGTTTGTCGTGATCTACTTGGACGATATCCTGATCTATTCCCCATCACGAGAGGTGCACCATCAGCATCTCTGTCAGTTCCTGCAGCGGCTCTGAGAACATCGGCTATATGCCAAATTAGAGAAGTGCTAGTTCTACCAGATGACTATCGAGTTCCTGGGTCACCGCATTTCTCCTGAGGGCATCGCCATGGAGCCGAGAAAGGTCGAGTCTCTGCAGAGTTGGCAACCCCCACATCGTGTGAAGGATGTCCAGCGACTTCTTGGGTTCGCCAACTATTTTCAGACTTTCATCCCCAGGTTTGCTACCATGACAGCCCCCCTTACTCAGCTCCTGTAGAAAAAGACTCGGTTCCAGTGGGACGCTCCAGAACAGCGGGCTTTCCAGGCTTTGAAGGAAGCCTTCATGATGGAGCCCATCCTGAAGCATCCTGACCCGCAACGGCCATTTGTCGTGGAGGCGGATGCCTCCGACATTGCCACTGGGGCGGTGTTACTCCGGGCGACGACGCCCGGCGGTGCCCTCTTCCCTTCCCTTCACGGAAATTGAATCCAGCAGAGCGCAACTATACCATCTGGGAGAAGGAGCTACTGGCCATTAAAGTGGCGTTCGAGGCCTGGAGGCATCATCTGGAAGGGGCGCGTCATCAAATCGAGGTCCGGACGGACCATAAGAATTTGAAAAGCCTGCAGACCGCTCAGAAATTGAACCAACGCCAGATCCGGTGGTCTCTCTTCTTTGCGAGGTTCAATTTCCGGGTGACGTATATACCCAGCGGTCACAATCAAAGAGCGGATGCTCTGTGAAGGAAGCCCGAATATTCCCGAGCAGAAGACAAGCTTCTGCCCAGGACAGTGCTCCCTATCGAGTCTTTTGCTGCGGTACGGGAGCCGATAGATGTACGGGCTTGGATTCGGGAGGCCCAGCAACAGGATGGGTGGGTGGCTCAGCAAAAGGAGGAGGTGGGGCCAAATTCCCCATGGACAGTCATGGATGGACTCCTCCACTATCGGCTCTATGTATCTGGAGGGCCGCTCAGGGGACTCATCCTCAGCCAGTGTCATGACAATCCGGCGGCAGGGCATTTTGGCCTGTTCAAGACCCTGAACTTGGTCTCCCGTACCTTCTGGTGGCCCCGAGTCTGACACGACATCCAGACCTACGTCTCATCTTTTATCCCATGTAGGCAGGCCAAGTCAGCGACAGGGGCCCCACCCGGACTACTGCAGCCCTTGCCGACACCCAAAAGACCCTGGGGGGCTGTGTCCATGGACTTCCTGATGGACTTACCCCCGTCTTCTGGATTCACAACGGTGTTCATGGTGGTGGGCATGCTGACCAAGATGGCGCATTTCATCCCATGCCGTGGCTTGCCGTCTGCCCGCGCCACCGGTCGCATGTTCATCCAGCAGGTGTTCCGGCTGCATGGCCTTCCTGATAGGGTAGTGTCCGATAGAGGGGCCCAGTTCACAGCCCGTTTCTGGCAGGAGTTGATGCAGGCGTTGGATGTCAAGATCTGCCTCTCGGCCGCACATCATCCCCAAACTGACGGAGGGACCGAGAAGGTCATCGAGATCCTGGAGCAATATCTGCGCTCCTATGTCAATCAGCAGCAGAACAATTGGGTGGACTATCTGGCGGTGGCTGAGTTTGCGTTCAATAACTCACAGCACACCTCCATGCAGATGACACCATTCTTAGCCAATGTGGGCTATCACCCTTGGTTTTTCCCTCTTTCCCCACTAGATGCAACGGTACCACCAGCGAACGACTACATGGCAGAGTTGCAGGCGATCCATCGATTGGTGCAGCGACAGTTGGAGAAGGCCAAGGCTGATTACAAAAGGCCAAGGCTGATCAGTCGAGGCGGGATACGCCTCCACTAACAGTGGGAGATCGGGTATGGCTGTCGACCAGGAACATACCGTCAACCCGGCCAGCCAAGAAGTTAGACCACCGATATGTAGGACCGTTCCCAATCGAGGCTGTCATCAATCCAGTCGCCTATCGCTTAACTCTGCCACATTCCCTGCGGGTACATCCGGTCTTTCACCGTTCTCTGTTGGTCCCTGAGCAACCGGCGTGTCCACTCCGCCGAGCCGAACCTCCCCCACCGGAAAAACGTGATGGAGACAGTGCTCCCGAGTACGAGGTTGCCAGCATTCGGGACTCCTGTTGGGTGAAAGGCCACTTCCAGTATCTGATTGAATGGAAAGGCTACGGACCGGAGGAGTTCACCTGGATGAGACCACCGTTCATGTTCCTGCCTTGGTGACCACCTTTCATGACCAATTCCCATCCCGACCGCATCCGGATCGGCAGACCCGGGGGAAGGGCCCTGCGGTGCGGGATAGTGTCATGATTCCATGCCAGCCTGTGTTCCCAACAGCTGAGTCTGAGGAATCTGAGGAGGAGGTGGAGGAGGCATTTGAAGGGCCATCAGGGTCAGAGGGAGGCTCTAGTGAATTATAAGACTCACGGTTTGATGAAGAGCCTGGGCCCTCCAGTCGTGTTCCTGATGAAGCTCAGCTGTGTGAGGAGAATGAGTCAGACTCGGAGGACTCACACCTGATGGACATGCTAATTGATGCTCGCACATGCCGGCAATTAGCGAGAGTAAATCAGCAGCAGTCAATACGACAACTCCAGGGAAAAAGGAGAAGGCACTGAGAGGCAACGCCTTGGGGCTGCTATATAAAAAGAGGAGGTGTGGGCGGTGCTGGTTGCTGAAGGCAACCGTTTGCAAAGTACTTCATGGGATCCTGTTCTGTTCGTCTTGCCTGTGACTACTCTTCTGTTTGCATCATGTTTCATGTGGACTATTTCCTCCATTTGGAGGGTGTTTTGCTGCTTTTGTTTCTGGACTATTTGTCAGGTTTGTCACCCATATTAAAAGGGGTTTGTTTTGTTTAAGTCTCCAGCCTATTTTATCAACAGGGGTTTGGTCCTTGTACCTTTAACAAGGACGGCTATAGGCTGAGATAGAACAAGTACCACCAGATGGATTTATAACTGGCTGATAAACCCTACTCAATGAGTAGTCCTTAATGATACTACATCTACATGGAGGGAAGTAAGCCATGGGGTGCCACAGGGTTCTGTCTTAGGCCCAGTACTCTTCAATATTTTCATAAAAGACTTAAATGAGGGAATAGAAGGGGAACTCATCAAATTTGCAGCTGACACTAAGCTGGCAGGAATAGCCAACATCTCCAAAGACAAGCTCAGGATCCAAAAAGATCTTGACAGACTTGAACATTGGACCCTATCCAACAACATGAAATTTAATGTGGAGAAAAGGTTTTATACATCTAGGCAGAAAAACCAGAGGTATAAGTACAGATTAGGAGAAAAATTGCTTCAAAAACAATAACTATGAGAAGAATTTTGAGATCTTAATGGACAATCACTTAAATATGAGCCAGCAGTGTGCGGCAACAGCCAAAAAAGCTAAGACAATCCTTGGTTGTATAAACAGAGACATAGAATCAAAATCACATGAAGAATTAGTACTGCTTATAAATCCTTAGAAAGACCACACCTGGAATGCTGCATCCAATTTTGGTCACCATATTACAAAAAAGATTTTGAGACTTTAGAAAAGTGCAAAGAAGGGATCCACTGACTATAGACCAGTCTGTTTTGATAGTGAGAAGCAAATTGTATGCAAAACCTCTACATCCAAACCTTTCTGAATTAATTGAAACCAAAGCCTATTTAGAGAAGAACAGGTGGGTTTCAAGCCAGGCACTCAGTGGTGAACCATGTTCTTGTGCTACATCATCTGAGATTGCTGAGGTTTGAAAGGAGACATCTTAGTATTTTAATTATAACTTGATCAACATCAAAGCCATTAACTTTCTAAGACTTATGGTTGGAACAATGAAGGAAGCAATTTGTTTAATTTTACTGTAACTGATGAGAAGTTGCTTCTTTCTGTTGTTATAAGCCAGAATATGAAAACTCCCAGGACCGCTTGTGATAAAGAAATTATTGCTTCATCAGAGGAATATAAAAGAAGGGAACCGTTTCTGTGGCTCAACATGGGGTGAGATTTAGCCCTGTGAGGTGGGCTGCGCTGAGAGATAGTGACTGGCCCAAGGGCACCCTGCTGGCTTTCACGGCTAAGGCAAGATTAGAACTTATGGTCCCCCAGTTTCAAGTTCAATGCCTTAACTACTAGACCAAACTGGCTCTCATAATCCTCAAATTAATGAGAAGGTTTGTTTATTTTTCTATATCTTATTGTGGATGAGGAAAACTTATAATGTCTATACATAAACATGGGGAGTTACACAGGAACAAACAGGTTATTGAGTACACTTATATAAATTCTAAAGTCCTGTAGCATAAGCTTCCTTTAGACCTTCCCTAGCCTCTCAACAGTTTGCTCAGGAGTAAAATATTCTACTCTTGATTGCTCCCTAATTTTATCTGGAGATACTGCTGTAATTGATTTGGATATCTAAACTGGAACATAAAGTGATTCTCAAGTTATCGGAGAAGGGGAAGGTTGATCGGAGTTTAGTTGCTGAAAATATGACATTAGGGCACTATCTAGATAGCTGAACTTTAATAATTTCTGTCCTTTTTCATCCAGTTGTTGTAGTGATTAGATACTGGGAGAGTTGTAGTAGATTATCACTCAAATTGGTTCCTCAATATGCTGTTCCTTTCTTCCTTTTTAATAAAGTTTCTAGTGTTCCGACAGAAAAGTTATCTACTTATCAAACTGAAGAAGACAATTGAGTCATTGACAAGAGATTCTTTCAACAAGAAATGGCCTTTTAATCCTGATTTCCAAATCTTTAAACTCATGAAAGCAAACACATGCAATGTTTAAGAACTTTTAAAAGTTTGTTTTCCATTTTAATTAACACATGGATTTAAATATCACATTTTTGTGACACTTTTCTTTCAAAATTCAAGTTTTAATATTACATATTCACGACACAAAATAATTGTAATAGTTTATATAACACTGATATCTATTATATAAACTACTACAATTCATATTTTTCTGTTAACAGTAAACCAGAATTAAGTAAGATAAAAGTAATTTCTGTAGATTTTCTTAAATATTTACCTCTGATTTTTAGGGCAGGGATAAGAGTTACAAGGATCCTTAGAAATGCAGGACCCAAATTCAAACTGATTATCATGTAGCCCAACACAACGTGCTACACATGCACTTGGATAAGTACGTCCATTCTGACCACATACTGGGACAAACTGATCAGCGCAGTTACATGGCAGACCTGAAAAAGTTAAACCTTGGTTAGGATGTTGACTATATCTACATCAGCTATAGAAATCGATTCATTATTTTTCTCTGAAGGAGGATGAGGCGTTTGTCCCTTAAATAATTATCTGAGGGAAGAATTATCTTACATTGGATAAAAATATGATAACAGAAGTAGACACTGCTGAATGAGTATACAGGTTTTCCTCACGATACAACTGTAATGGAGCCTGTCCATTATAGTCACATGCATGACATTCATTAAGTGAATGCTCCATTTTTTAAAGAAGATTCCATTTGTTTCTGGCACCTCTTTAAAAAAAACTCTATAGTATCAAGAGAATAAAACCTGTTGCAAAATAGAAGGAGTCTGACATGAATCTGTAAGAAACTGATCCTGTATTGGGTCAGGTACCTCTTTCATAAGCTGAAAAAACAGAAAGGTAAGTTGGGTATTTCCTGGAGCAGGCTTGAGTCCTACAAGTCAATGGGTGGGTTCCCTCCTTGTTCACCAGAGGCTGATCTCCCCTTCCTTGCCAGAATTTGCAAATTCCATTTGCTCTCACCTCCTATTTCTTGTTGGAGTTTAGAAACTCCATCTGCCCTGATCTCCCCTTGCTTGCTGGGTCTGAAGGAAGCTGGAGGCTTGCGAGATTTGCACCCATTATAGCCATCTGATTCCACTGGGTAGATGAGTGGTTGCAGGGACCCAGTGGAGAGGGACAGGTAAGTTGTTTAATGCTGCAGCATTGTTCGTAAGAATGAATAGCTGTGGGAGTGTTGCAGCCGCCATTACTTTGAAACCGTCACAAGTAACATTTATAACGTCAAATGGTCACTAAGCAACCTGTTGTAGGTCGAGGACTACTGTATGAATATATAGGAGTGTATGCAAATAATGAAAGCACATGGCTGAAACAGAAAGTTTCAAGTGGGGTGGGATAAGCATATTAGCACTGCCTCTACTTATCTTTCATATAAAGAGAATGCACAGCTACAGTGAGAGACTCCTTTATCTATGGATTGAGGACTTAAATCATATTTATCTAGGAGCAACAGCTACTAGATTCTATTGAATCTACTATAGAGTAAGAAGAAATAGATTTCTTATATTTGTAGGCTAGCACAAGAGTCTGCACTGAACTATTCAATTTTTGTTAACAGAAAGAAAAAATAAGTCAGTATTTCAAGGTTTTCAGTCTATTGTTACTTATGGAAGGTATACAAGTTAAATAGATCCATCCCTGAAACAAAATCAACCTCTGCTCAAGTAAACTTGCCACAGAATATGCATAGATACCATGTTTCCCCGAATATGAGACCGGGTCTTTTTTTTTTCCCCTCCAAAAGAGGGACCAGGTCTTATTTTCAGGGGGAGATATCTTTTCCACTCACCTCTGGCACTGACAGCCCCACCCAGCCAGTCCACTTTTTCTGTGGCTGCATTCTGACCTGCATTTCGCAGTCAGGCCTTTCCGGAAGGCCACTGCAGCTGAGTACCGAGCTATGGATTCAGTCCATAGCTCGGTTCTTGGCTGCATAGGACTTGCAGAACTGAGTTATGGATTGAATCCGTAGCTCAGTTCTCGGCTGCAGTGGCCTTCTGGAAAGGCCTGTGACTGAGAAATGCAGGCCTGGCTGCAGAAGACGCCACAGAAGGTGGGCTGGCGAGGATAGGTCTATCAGGTAAGTTGATGCGGGGCACATGGGCTAGCTCTACACACACACACACACACACACACACACACACACAGAGACACACACACACACACACACACCCCTTGATTTTTAGGTGTGTGCCTTGCCCCAAAACTAGGGCTTGTTTTCAGGGTAGGACTGCCCCCCAAAATCAAGCTAGGGCTTATTTTCGGGGTAGGCCTTGCTTTTGGGGAAACACGGTATATTCTTGCCCAATTCTATTGCAGGCAAATAAGCTTTATTTTTCTGTTTGTTTATGTGTGTGAGGAATTTATGAGCAGAGAATTATTTTGATCTACATCTGTAAGTGAGGATCATTTAATTTATACAAAGTGTATTTAGCAGGAAATGAATTTTAATCAAGTAATATTAATTTTTATTCTCCTCTCTTTTTTGAAGTGAACCTCTGCCTAGCATGTATACAGATACAAATGTACAAAAACCTATGTGGGACATGTTATATTTATCAATGGAAAAAAATCTACCAGACTGACTTCAATGGAAACACTACTTTTTAAATATGAGGAAGGTAGACAGTGTACAGAATTTTTATTTGTATTAACAACTGCATTTCTGCCCAATCTTTCCATTTTAAATACAGCATTTCTTTCTTTTTAGAAAATATAGTTATATCAAGTGGTATTAATCTTTTTAAACAAGTTTGTAAAAATACATTATAATAGCTTCCTAACATTCTTATAATTTTCTTCTCCCTAGAACTGTGTGTTTTGAATTTCATTTATCTCATGTTGTATGCAATCTGCAATATTGCCCAAAACATTTGCTTCAGTATCGGCAATCTGAATAAATCCAAAGGCAAACAAACTATAAAAAATTGTCCCACGAAATATTAGGCAAAGTATCATCAGAGAAAACCAAAATTCAGCATTACAATGCTTCTGATAAGTTTCAAAGTTTCTTAAAATTTAAAAACACTACCTGTAAGTAGGTGATGTTCATCATCTGAACTTAATTCATTGAGACACTGACGAGTGGAGCATATCAAATTCCCAGAAAAACATGAACAGACATTGCAGTCTATATTAAAAGATGTTCCATGGCCTTAAAATAAAAGAAATATATTACTATATATTGTATATTATATAGTATATTATATTGTATATTATATAGTTATATATTACTATAACTACTTAAATATATACATCATTATTATGAAATATTGCCCTTGCAGCCAAAAAATATTATTCAATGTATACCCTATCTTTTATTTAGGAGTTCACCGTAGGGTAGATAGCATTCTCTCCTACATTTTTTTCACAATAACTCTACCATGCCGATGTGACAAGCCTAACCCAAAGAGCTTAAATAATTCAGGATGGACTTATAATTGGGTTTCCAGATTAGCAGCTAAAATTTAAAAATAAAAATTCTCATGTTTTATCTAGATTTAACTGATTTTCATTTTGAATGAAATTTCTACATATGGTTTATTTGCTAAGGTTTATTTTACTACACTCTTATTTTAGATTAACTTTATTATTTACATACTGTAGAAATACAAGTAGTCAATGACTTATGACCACAACTGAGCCCAGAATTTATGTTGCTAAATGAGAAATTTGTCAAGTGAGTTTTATCCCATTTTGCAACTTTTCTTGCCACATTTGTTAAGTGAATCATTGCAGTTGTTAAATTAATAACACAGTTGTTAAGTGAATCAGGCTTCCCCAATGACTCTGCTTGTCAGAAGTTCGCAAGAGATGGTCACATGACCCTGGGACACTGCAACCGGCATAAATATGAACCAGCTGCCAAGCATCCGAATGTAAATTGTCTGACCATGGGGATGCTGCAACAGTAATAAGTGTGAAAAATAGTCATAAGTCATTTTTTTAATGCCGTTGTAACTTTGAAGGGTCATTAAAATAACTGTTGTAAGTCAAGGACTAGCTGTATTATAGAATTCTGCAAAAAACAAACAAATTGGTACAAAATAATCTCAGCAAAACTGAATGATACATACAACAAATATTTGTTTGCATGGAAAATTTGTGAAAAATAGACAGGAGATCATTGCTAGGAGGGCTTTAATTGGAATTAGTTTTGTAGTCTGCAGAATTTTAAAACTTTTGTTATAAAAAATTCTCATGATTAGTACTTACTTTTTCTTTGCCCTCCAACAATGCATGACTTTTGGAGATCAACACAATACATTTCCATACAATTTTCTAACAAACCATTCTGGCCACACGTGCAAATTTTATAGCACCCAATATCTCCAACAGAAGATGGTACTTGGATGAGAGTACCTTGACGGACAATAAAATCAGAGGCTTCACCCAATTTGCAGCCTATGTTAATATGCAGAGAAGACAAATGTTAGTGAGTTATGAATTCTAAGAGGAACAAGTATGCTACAAAAAGTATTGTATTCTCTTAAAGATTAAGAAAGTTTAAACTTTCACTGATTAGTTTACTCAGACATATGAAGCATTGTACTTAAATAGAGGCATATTTATAGCAAGATCTTAAAAAACTAAATTGGAGATGAAAGAGATACAAGGCAGAGATAATAAAATTACTGAAAAATATGGGGCAGCATCAAATGAGATTGGAGAAAATAATCTGTGTGTGTATATGACATATATATATATATATATATATTATGACAATGTGATTGTAATATAAATAATGGCAATATATTATCAGCTGTCAAAAATTTACCAAGATGATACTAAAGATACAGTGAGGAAATATCAGAGGATGAGATACAGATAATTTCAGGTAATTCCTGCTTCTGATTCGTTTCTATTTTGCTAACATAATAACTCTCTGAGCAGCTTAAATCCTGAAAATTAATTTTTGGCAGACATTAGCTTTTCTGTACCTCAAAATTGAGGTGGGCCACAGACAGTATTTTATCATAATTAATGCATAGATTAAAAATGGGGGGCTTCAGATATAATGTGGTAGGAATTGCATTTTGCTGTAGTTTACTTGGATCCAGATTATTCTAATTCTCCTTCAATTATTCTGTGTTAGGAAACACTCAACCTGTTACAGAGGAGGGCTCAATTGCAATGAGCCTAGAGTCACTGCACAGCCATAAAGGGGCTAGGACCAACCCCTCCCCAAGTTCTTTGAAGTCTTATCTATTTGTTCCCAAGAGAAGGCTGCTAGTTGGGGAGATTTCGGTATTGTAGGCAGAATATAATAAAAAGTTAGCTTGAACTTTGCATGTGTGGTAGATTGTTCACACCTGATATTTTTAGGAGATTTTAATGCAAAGGTAGGATGAGATAAATGAGATATATAGGATATATAGGTTATGAAGAGCTTATTACATATTTTCCTTATGTAAAGATGGATGACAAATATAACAAAACAGGTATATTTTGAAATTTATAGAGAAACTTTTGTCTTTTAAATAAATATTTTATCCATGATTGACTAGACAACTTCTCTTTACCATAAGTGGACTCATTGCTATTTAATTTTTTTTAAATAAAATTTTATTAATTTTTATAATTAAACAATAAGTAATATGATGCATTTGTATACACAAACAGAAAAAACAATCCAACTCAGTACATTATCGGAAACGCTCGGCAGTCCCCGCTTTGCCTCCGCCCTCATCCACCTTCCTTTCCTTCCTACCTCTAGCCCACAACCTCTCCTCCTTCCTCCTTCCCATTTCTACATCCCCCCTCTTCCTTTCCTCACCATTTCCTCGAGTGCAATTTGGGATACCAGCCGAGCATCTCCTCTTATATAATTATTATTTACCTATAACATATGAATACATCAATTTTTTGATACCCCTAATCCCCTTCCCCCCCCCTGAGCTTCCCGGAACCAAATACAGGATTTAAACACATCATTCCAGATCTAAATTACAATTTAACTAAACAAATATAATGCTATCAGTATATACCTACTTTAACTCTAATAAGGCAATTAAATTAATTAAAATTAATTAAAAACCAATATATCTACTCAAAAACTATATCACTCCATATTTCTAAATATAATCTATCCACCTTCAACATTTAAACTTTACATAATTTTTTTCTTACATTTTACACTTAAATTTTCCCTTCACTTTCTTCCCTCTCCGGTCTATACTTTCAATAAAATCTTAAGTCAATACTTCCTGCTTCACAGCTGGAAAAATAAAATAAAATCCCAATCTTAATTTTTTACATCTTTCGGAAAAAAAAACAACCAAAAAAACAACTATCAATTACAAACATATAATAAACTAATTTCTTCCATTTCCATAATAAAGTCTCACTTCCAGCGTTTATCCATCTTTTGGCTTACAAAGCTTGCTAAGCATTCCCTGCATGTCTATCGCTGCAGATCTCTTTGGCCTCGCCCCTCCCACTGGCTCCGAAGGCTGTGGATATGTTATAGAGACTGTTTCTTTTTGTTGCTCTCTCTCTTTACGCCTATAAGCGGCACGGGTCATCCTTTGCTCCTTCTGAGGCTCTTCTACCGATAATGACATGGCCCCAGGCAATTCCACAACAAGTTGCTCCATCAAATCTTCCTGTGCTTTAGATGTCGATGATAATGACGTATCAGCTTTCAGGACCGACAAATAAAAATCTTTGGCTCTTTGAACAGAGTTTAATCTATGTCTGGTCCCTGCAAAGTTCAATATAATACCCAAAGGAATTTCCCATCTGAAAGGTATCTGCCGCTTCTTTAACTCCTGAGTCAAAAATGTAAAGTCCTTTCTTCTTCTTAAAATCTTAGAAGGTATTTCTTTTAAAAGTATAATATCTTGTGCGGCAATTTGAAATCTCTGCTGATAAAAGAACTGTATAATTTCATTACGACGTACTCTTGTGGTAAAATAAACAACCACATCTCTAGGTAAATTTCTTTGACGTGCAACCCAGGAGTTCACTCTATAAATTTTTTCTATTTATCCACAAATCACCTCTGGGTTGCAGTTCAATGCCAGGGCCAAAGCTGTAACAACTTCCTCTTTAAGTTTCTCTTGTGGGTCCTCTTTAAGACCCCTGATTCTCAGAGCAAATTCTAATTGTTTATATTGTAACATTACCATGTCATTTTGAAAAAATTCCACTCCTTCCTCTACCTTTTCAAGTCTATCCTCCGTTCCTTCCATTTTCTCCACTAATTCATCCACTCGTCCCTCTACACGATCAATATGAGTTGCAAGTCCTTGAAAAATATGTGATAAATTTTCACAAAGTTCCTGATTTTTCTTATCCAAAAGTTCTTCTGTTTGTTTCAGAGTCTGCAATGAGGACTTGGCTAAAGCCTCTTGTAAATCTTTAAGTGTAATGGAAGGAGGAGGTGTTGGTGGGGGAGATCTAGGTTTCTGTTGTTGAATTTGCACCACAGGAGAAGAAATAGCTGTTTTAGGCAACGCAGGAACAGTATGTTTTGAAGCCATTCTGCCAAATTATTTTTTAAAAATCACCACAGCAAGTATAAACTTAAAAAGCTTGACTTTAAATAAAAAAAGTTAAAGTCCTTTAAAATACATCCACAACCGGAAAGAAAGTGAAAGTTTTCCTTTTGTTAAAAAAAAAGGAATGCTTCCGCGGCCATTTTCTTGTCACTTTCACTTATAACAAGTAACAAAAATCCCAATAAAATCTTCGAGTTAAAGTCACATTTTAACTGAAATAAAAAATCCCCGGTCAGGTTCCGTCTGTTTCAAAAGTTACTCACAAGCAAATACAATGTAGCAGCAGTGGCGGCGACGTCTGGCTTTGCTCCAAGGAACGAAGACACATCGAGCTGCGGAGAAGAGGTCCAGACTCCGGGGGAGTTCTCACCTTCATCCCCCCAGGAGCGATCCTGGGGGGACTAAGGAACTCAACCCCTATCCAGACCAAACTCACCTTCTCCCCTTTGCCCGGGGAGAAAGTTCCAAGCCGCAAAACAGCTGATCCGCGCTGTTTTGTCGGCTTTGACGCAGTCCTGGGCTGGAGGCTGAAGAAAAGCCTCCTTTGGCGGCGCCTCGCCACCAGAAGCTGTGGACTCATTGCTATTGATTAGAACTGTATCTCATCATGTGATGCCCGTTGTATTTTCTAATGTCTTCAGGCTGCAGTGATACTCAACCTCTCTCACAGAATTAGTAGGTTGGAAGGGATCTTGCAGGTATTCTAGCTCAAGCCCCTAACAGGGCAGGAGTCCTTGGACTATCTCCAACAAATGGCAATGCAATCTTCTTGGAAGCCTCCAATGATAGATCACCAACAACCGAAAGAGGAAAGTTCTCCCTTAAGAAAATCATTCCTAGTTCAAGATTGGATCTCCTCTATAAAACTTCCATCCATTGGTTCTGGTTTGACTGTTCACTGTGGAAAATAAATCCCTATCCTCTATCTTGTGACAAGGCTTCATATCTTGGAAGACTGCTATCAGGTTTGCCGTTGGCTTTTCTTTCTTTAGGCTAAACATACAAGTTCCTAAACTACTCTATATGCCCTTATTATGCTTTTCATTCTTTTTTTGCCATCTTATGAGTTCCTCAGTATTCTTTTAATATTGTATCAATCCAAACTAGCCACACTATTCCAGATATAGTTTAACTGGGGAAACAAAAAGCAGTACTATAATTTCCCATGATCTCGACACTGTTGTTATGTTGATGCAAGCCTAAACTGCATTGCCTCTTTTGGCAGCCACAGCACACACCTCTGGCTCTTCCAGGATACCCAAAGACTTCTAGCAAGTACTAATGCCTATTATTACTTGTCACCTGAATTTTCCTGCTTAAATAAAAAAATCTATCTTTCTCACAATAGAACATAGAAAAATAGGATTGAAAGAGATCTTGAAGGTCTTTTAGTTGAAACTCTTGTCTATGGCAGGAGAGCCTATATTGTTCTGGACAAATGGTTGTCCAATGTTTTCTTGAAAATCTCCAATGATGGAGCATTCACAACTTTCACAAATACTTTGGTATTTGTACAACATCTATGATGACCTGGATGATAGTATTACATTTCTATTGGTATTACTTTTCTACTGTACCGTAATTAAAAAAAATTAAAATAAAATGATGTATCATTGGTATATCACACCCAAGAAATTATAAAAAATGTACAAAGATTTTTCAAACCAATGTTGGAAATGAAAATAACAAGAGGGAACATTATATCATGCATGTGACTTATGAGGAAGCTAAGAAGTTGTGAATAAAAAATCACACAATAAGGAAAAAATATGTTAAAGAATAATATTGTGAAGAAATCAGTATTCTTTTGATTGAGACTTATGGACAATGAATAAGACTCATAGTAGATTTATTCTGTACAAGGTAATTGCAGTAAGATTATTCTATGCGAAATAATGGAAA